GAATATAAGCCCAGGGCTTATAGTCAGAGGTTTACGGTATTATATATCCCATATTTTAACAATAAACACATTATTTTTTATATTATATTACATTAACATATATACATGGATCACATATTAAGTCTTTAAATGACAGTACATTGTGTTTGTAATTATAATTACCATAATTACTTGTGTCGAAAGTAAGAAATGAAGTGAACAAATCCATATCTATTTGTTGAAAATTTGTTGGCTGTGGGTATATCTTCCATTTGTTCTTCATGCTTAACACTGTGTATCTTTGAACATTTAATCGGCAACTAGTTGTAGGCAAGGATACATTTACTAGCTCATTTTTCCATATTACCAGGTACATAACATGCAATTTATACATCAACCTTGCAATCCAGGCTTTAACCCCTGCAGTTGCCCCTCTCTGCAGCATGTTTGGGAAGGGAGAGGAAGGAATGGAGGTACTGTAATTTCTATATTTAGCCCCCTTCTCTTCAAGCCCCTTTCCAATCACCCCCCTCCCCTCATTTGGATACAGAAAGCAAAAAGCCCCCCCCCCCTCATTTGGATACAAAAATCAAAAATAAATAAGCCCCCTCCTCTTTTTACCATGCAGCCCTCATTCAATATCTTAAAATCATGAAATATATTGCATTTCTGTAGTATTTTAATAAAATATAGTACAACGGTAACTCTGAATATGGACATTTTTTAATGGTAACCAGACTTATTGCATAGATTTAGAACAAGTGCCCCCTCAATGATGCTTAGGAAACAATACACAGGAGGCTTGATAGTTGATACAGAAATTAAAGTAGTTATTTGATTGAAAACTGGTAGCTATTTCAATTCTACTGTCAGTATCTCCTTTTATATATAATTGGATTAATTGCCAATATTTCACATAGTATAATAGATAGCAACAGACAAGGAAACATCTGTATTTAAATTCACTACTTATTTTTTATCCAGACACAAATTGATGTAAAAATTGTTTCAGGTTTGGCTTAGTTATAGCCTTACATTGGGCTATTCCATTTAATATCCATACCCCCCCCCCCCTGTCGAGGATCCCTGGAATTCTTCAGGGGTAAAGGGTTTTGAGCTTGGAATTCTTCAGGGGTAAAGTGTTTTGAGCTTGGAATTCTTCAGGGGTAAAGTGTTTCGAGTTTGGAATTCTTCGGGGGTAAAGGGTTTTGAGCTTGGAATTCTTCAGGGGTAAAGGGTTTTCAGCTTGGAATTCTTCAGGGATAACAGGTTTTGAGCTTGGAATTTTGGAATTCTTTGAACAAGGGTAAAAGGTTTTGAGCTTGGAATTCTTCAGGGGTAAAGGGTTTTGAGCTTGGAATTTTGGAATTCTTCAGGGGTAAAAGGTTTTGAGTTTGAAATTCTTCAGGGGTATAACCATGAAAAACATGTATCCTCGACAGGGGTGTACGGATATTAAATGGAATAGCCCATCATGCTGTCAAGTGGCAATCACTTACAAAGCAAATCTATAACCAAATGTTTTACAACCTGAGGAACTTCTTAAATCAATTATTCTATAATTTATACAGATGCTACAAAAACACCTGGCATCTTAAATTTATATAGACAACTCCATCTACAAAAGCACAAAGTCAAAGACCACGGGCTACAACATGTTGAGTGTTGACCATTGACCATAATGTACTGTATTGTTTAAAGCTTCAAGTCTTTAACACAAGAAAAAGCTGTCACTCCAAAGTCCTGGCAACAATATGTCAATTTAACAAAACGACAACGTGTGCGATGATTTCATTTAGCCAATTCTTTCATGGTTATAATGAATATACTCGTATTGTAGATCGATAAAAAGTCATTCATAAATACCATGCCATTTTGTAAGTATATACCAGTGAACTATATATACCCAACGTCCCAATACTTTTTCATACGATTAATATCATATCCTTCGATTTATATCGTTTGATTTCGCATTCCAAATCTGATAAACATTGATAATTCTCTCTTCGGCGTCTTCGCGTATGTCCACGCGTAATTCTCGCAAAAAACACGCATTAATTGTGTCGGCAGCATTGATGATCACGGCAGCCAATCAAATAACGATTTCGATTCGATTTCCCCAGAGTCATGCCACAACCTAACCCGCGAACAGGCATACTCTGGGAACGAGATTGTGGAAATCCAATTTAATACTCATTGCACTTTCCATACTATGGATGTAGTATGGAAATAATATGCTATGGATTTGGTGATGCAATGGCCCAATGGGTGATACGAGCTATAGACTAAGTATTGAGTCAAGGCAAGAAGAACCAAATCCAACACCACAGCTAGAAAGAGCGTCTTAGAATGAGTAAAACTGCAAAGATCGGTTGCAAAATGTTGTAAAATGAAGAAAATATAGCCCTGTGAAGTTCGCAAATTTTGTACTTATATTTGTATCACGCGCGGTAAAAATAACCACTTTCGGCTCAAAAAATGGTTATTTTCCCACGCGTAATGCAAATATGTACAAAATTTGCGCACAAAACTGCACAGAACTATATTTTCCTCATTTTACAACATTGCGCAACCAAACTTTGCAATTTTACTCATTTTGAGATGCTCTTTCCAGCTATGGTAATGGTTTCGTTCTCCTTGTCTAGATCAAAATTTCCGCCGTCTATAGCCGGAATCATGGATAGCAGCAAAGCGACAGACTTTCGGAACTCATAGTTTTAATTCTTCTAGGAAACTACATTTTCAAGAAGTATTAAGAGGCGGTGAGTGGAAGAACTGAGTGTGATATCCCGTAGGATTTTACCGACTAAACAGATTTTTCGGCTTGATAAAAGGTATTCTGTATCCGAGGGTGTGAATGATGCAAATCATTAAACATTTGCATAGCATCACCGGTTGCTATAGCGTCGCCATTGAAGCATATTGGACGGCAATTGTTAAAACAATTGTAAAACCTTCAGATTTTAATCTTTATCAGACAGAAAGTTGTCGATTGATAGGAAAACAATCACCTGAAAAATACAAGGAGAACTTCGACGTTCAAAAATCATATTTAAACTGGAGTGAACCATTGGTGTAAGGTAAATATCGAAGTGTTTCTACTGAGACTAACCAGAGGCAGGGCGCTGTATAGCACCTGCGGACTAACTTTTCGACGAAGCGCCGTAGTCGGAAAGTTAGTCTCATTAGAAACACTTTGATTCTTACCTTACACCAGTGGTTCGGTCCAGTTTAAATATGATTTTTGAAGACCAGCGGACGGACGGATGCAAATTTACCGACTTATTTTTCGAGTTGATATTTGAACTAAAAACGTTTTATCCACCTTAATTGCGGCGAAATTTCATCCATGGTTTTCAAGTGCAATTTGGAAAACAAAAGAACTTTAAAATGTTATATAATTTTGTTAATTTTGTATTAATGATATTTCCGCATGCCTAAAAAACAAACAGTCTTTTTTAAACCAATCAGTTCGTACCAACTCAAGCACTTATTAACTTTCAGCAAGGCCGATCCCAAGTGTCAAATTTCGAGACATCGATCTTCGGCGCTTGACCGAAACCCGGAAGCCTAAATGCAAGCGGACTGAAAGCAGTGGAATTGTTGCTTTCTTTCTGGCTGTAGACCCTTGTCTGGGTCGCTTTCAACATGGGTTGTTGTGGTTCAAAAGAACCATCGAAGGAGGTGACGAATTTGAAGGACATCAATAGGAATAATGGCGAGAACACAGTCCCATCGCCATACGAGGAAGGATTTCCAGACCTACCACCACCACCGCCGCCAGAGCCAGAACCGTCCAGTCCGAAAGATGTAAAAGTTTATGTGGCATTGTACGACTATGAGGCCCGAACGGACGAAGATTTATCCTTTAAGAAAGGAGATTTCTTGCATGTTGAATCTGAGAATTGTAATTTTGACTGGTGGATGGCAACATCGCGTGCTTCTGGCAAGACCGGCTACATTCCAAATAATTATGTGGCTGAAGTTAAAACCTTGGAGGCGGAAGAGTAAGTACATTATTATCACGATTACAGCTTGTATTCGGTGGTTTAGCTAAATCATTGCCCCCTTAATTCATTTGTAACGCTTCCTTTCAACATGAATTCTTAAATATAGCTATATGCCTTCCCACAGCTCAATTCCATACGGACATTGATTATTCGAACAATTTATAATCATGGCGCTTATTTGAATACCTTAATTTCTTATAATTGTAAGTGTTATATTAAAGCGTTCGTTAAAGCATTATACAGACCTTGTTATAAATTAAAGCATGGAATTTTTAGTGAACATTGAACAAAGTTTATCCTAAAAGATAGTTCATTTAAATTCAAGCAGCAATACGATGTTGATTTAAAACTTCCGTTAAAATATTGTTTTTTCGCTTCTTTGTTTGGCTGCGTCACGCTATTACTCGGTGCAATGCCGAAGCCTTTGTTCTAGATTCTCGCTAGTAGCGTCAAGTCATAACATAAAGCTGTACGATAAGAAAGCTTTCGTTTCTAGTATAAAATCATGTTTGTGCCTTCGCAATTATCACAGGACCGTTCCTGAAACAGATACGATTCGATAAAATTCCACTATCATAATTCGAATTATTACAATATTTTTGATAAGCAGGATTGTGTATCGGATTTTGAAAGTATGGCAGCTTTTGAAGCAGAGCCAGATGAATAGCGTGAATCTAGCCTGTCAGAGGTTCAGGATATTCAAGACAGCATCGATCACCGCCTATCTTTTGCCGTATTGGGAGCTTTAGAAATCGCGGTATGAAAACAATATATAGCTTTGTAACTGCGTACAAAGTGTTGTACAAAATTGCCGGCACTTCTCAGGAACAATATTTAATCATTTATAGCGCTTTTACCGCGATTCCATGCACTCAAAGTCTCTGCCCAGCCGGAGGAGATAAACATGCATGTATAATTTGAAAAGTGATATTGGGAGTATTTTCTTTCATGACCCCCCTCAATGGATTAAAAGTTCACGAACGAATTCCTTTTCAAAACGAAAGTCGCTTAGTCAGAAGGTCTTTGAAATATTAAAATTGTCAGCGCATGCGGTTAGATTTTCGCGCGAAGTTCTGGCTAAAAAATATCTCTTGAAGATGTGCCATAATTTCCGCATGTCAGGGACTGGAAGTCTATAAACGCTAATTTCTATGACGCGCTGTCGCCATGGGCACAATCTATGGAATGGCCAAAATGTTCTACGAAAGTTTCGGTTTCATAAGCCTGGTTTCCATATGGTCGTAACGGTCGTAAAGATTGAGTCACGATCTTTCTCGTCAGCCGAAATGCAACATTTTGGAACTGAAAATACGCGGAGTGATTATAACTAGAGAACATAACACTTTTTGTTTGTGGAAACACCACGTAAATTTATTACTGCAAAGCTTTCGATCCGTAAGCCCGAATCTTCATCAGTGCTAATAATATCTTCATCAGTTTCCACAAACAAAAAGTATTATCCATGAAATATTGTTTCCTAGCCATGTTTCTTGAAGGTGGCCAAACCAGGAAACATTGTTTCCTGGCATGTTTCCTGAAGGTGAACAAACCAGGAAACATTGTTTCCTAGCCATGTTTCCTGAAGGTGAACAAACCATGAAACATTGTTTCCTAGCCATTTTTCCTGAAGGTGGCCAAACCAAGAAATATTGTTTCCTAGCCATTTTTCCTGAAGGTGGACAAACCAGGCAACATTGTTTCCTAGCCATGTTTCCTGAAGGTGGACAAACTAGGAAACATTGTTTCCTAGCCATTTTTCATGAAGGTGGACAAACCAGGCAACATTGTTTCCTAGCCATGTTTCCCAAAGGTGGACAAACCATGAAACATTATTTCCTTGCCATTTTTCCTGAAGGTGGACAAACCAGGAAACATTGTTTCCTAGCCATGTTTCCTGAAGGTGGGCAAACCATAAAACATTGTTTCCTAGCCATGCTTCCCAAAGGTGGAAAAACCATGAAACATTGTTTCCTTGCCATTTTTCCTGGAGGTGGACAAACCAGGAAACATTGTTTCCTAGCCATGTTTCCTGAAGGTGGACAAACCAGGCAACATTGTTTCCTAGCCATGTTTCCTGAAGGTGGACAAACTAGGAAACATTGTTTCCTAGCCATGTTTCCCAAAGGTGGACAAACCATGAAACATTATTTCCTTGCCATTTTTCCTGAAGGTGGACAAACCAGGAAACATTGTTTCCTAGCCATGTTTCCTGAAGGTGGGCAAACCATAAAACATTGTTTCCTAGCCATGCTTCCCAAAGGTGGAAAAACCATGAAACATTGTTTCCTTGCCATTTTTCCTGGAGGTGGACAAACCAGGAAACATTGTTTCCTAGCCATGTTTCCTGAAGGTGGACAAACCAGGGAACATTGTTTCCTAGCCATGTTTCCTGAAGGTGAACAAACCAGGGAACATTGTTTCCTAGCCATGTTTCCTGAAGGTGAACAAACCAGGGAACATTGTTTCCTAGCCATGTTTCCTGAAGGTGGACAAACCAGGAAACATTGTTTCCTAGCCATGTTTCCTGAAGGTGAACAAACCAGGGAACATTGTTTCCTAGCCATGTTTCCTGAAGGTGGACAAACCAGGAAACATTGTTTCCTAGCCATGTTTCTTGAAGGTGGACAACCCAGGAAACATTGTTTCCAGCAAACAAACATTGTTTCCAGCAAGGTGAACAAACCAGCAAATATCACACCAGTAGGAAAAAAATTTGTTTCATCCTACCACTGGGAAGCAAATTTAGTTTTGACAACAATGTACCCAAAAGGAGAAACATTCGAGGAAAAATTGGAATTTTTAACGTTTCTCAACAATGTTTATCATTTCCAGAAAACCGAAGATCGAGCTATGATGACAGTGACATAGATGGACGAAGGTCTCCACTTTTCGTCACCGAGTTCCAAGAACGGACCCAATTTCCAAGACGTAGCCCTATATTAGACCGTCGTTCCAAGATTTTGTACGATGAAACAACGAAAGTGACTGGAAAACCTCCCCTGAGTCCAAAAACAGTCAAATCTCTGCCCTCAACTCCGTATAGACAGCCCCAACAACATTTTAATTTTAATACAAGACGAAACTCTGCCGCAATGGTGCTGGAGCAATCTCAACAAACAGTCATTGGCCGCACTGGCACATCCAGTGTTAATGGCAGTATAGAAAATCTAGCTATGGAGCTGGGGGATTTAGAAATCAGTTTGTACTACAGCTCTGAAGAACGCCTTCTGAAAGTGTGTGTCGTGAATATTCATAGCCCAGAAGAACGGAGTCTGGTCGACACCTTTATCAAAGTGGCGTTCTATCTCTTTGAAAAACCTTACAAGAACGAAATGCAGTTATGGTCCGACTCCACAAAATCGTTAGTGAAGCGTACATTTTCGTACCTCGTGAAAAACATTTCAGACTTACAGCGAGCGGTGTTGAAGTTTACGTTGAAACGTAAGAATGGTCTAGTTCGAAATAAAGTGTTGGGGAAAAGTATTTTGAGATTGTGCAATGTGAATTTGATCGAAGCTCAGGCATACACATTGAAGTTACATCGCTCCATTACCGAGGTAAGTTTTACTCTACATAATAATTATTATTGAAAAGTTTAAATCAGTAAGTATCTCATAAATTGTTTCTCGGGGTCTGGTGCTTCCAGTTTTTCTAAACACCGTCGATTCTCCCCAGGTACTTTGGTTTCCTCCTGTAGTAACACTGGATGAATAAGAGATGATCCTTACTGAACCTCTAGGAAGAACAGTTTAGAACTGATAGAGCTATCAAGTATAAATAAAGTTAGTTTAGTTTAGGTTTCCTTCTGTAGTAACACTGAATCAATAAGAGATGATCCTTACTGGACCTCTAGGAAGAACAGTTTAGAACTGATAGAGCTATCCAGTATAAATAAAGTTAGTTTAGTTTAGGTTTCCTCCTGTAGTAACACTGGAACAATAAGAGATGGTCCTTACTGGACCTCTAGGAAGAACAGTTTAGAACTGATAGAGCTATCCAGTATAAATAAAGTTAGTTTAGTTTAGGTTTCCTCCTGTAGTAACACTGGATCAATAAGAGATGACCCTTACTGGACCTCTAGGGAGAACAGTTTAGAACTGATAGAGCTATCCAGTATAAATAAAGTTAGTTTAGTTTAGGTTTCCTCGTGTAGTAACACTGGATCAATAAGACATGATCCTTACTAGACCTCTAGGGAGAACAGTTTAGAACTGATAGAGCTATCCAGTATAAATAAAGTTAGTTTAGTTTAGGTTTCCTCCTGTAGTAACACTGGATCAATAAGACATGATCCTTACTGGACCTCTAGGGAGAACAGTTTAGAACCGATAGAGCTATCCAGTATAAATAAAGTTAGTTTAGTTTAGGTTTCCTCCTGTAGTAACACTGGATCAATAAGATACGATCTTTACTGGACCTCTAGGAAGAACAGTTTAGAACTGATAGAGCTATCCAGTATAAATAAAGTTAGTTTAGTTTAGGTTTCCTCCTGTAGTAACACTGGATCAATAAGAGATGATCCTTACTGGACCTCTAGGAAGAACAGTTTAGAAGTGATAGAGCTATCCAGTATAAATAAAGTTAGTTTATTTAGGTTTCCTCCTGTAGTAACACTGGATCAATAAGAGATGATCCTTACTGGACCTCTAGGAAGAACAGTTTAGAACTGATAGAGCTATCCAGCATAAATAAATTTAGTTTAGGTTTCCTCCTGTAGTAACACTGGATCAATAAGAGATGATCTTTACTAGACGTCTAGGGAGAACAGTTTAGAACTGATAGATCTATCCAGTATGAATAAAGTTAGTTTAGCTTAGTGAAGTAACACGTTTAAGATTTCTTTCTTTATTTTTTTCAGCTTCTGAGAGAAATCTTAGTATCAGTATGTCATCAGGCAACTACTGGCATCCTACGTGTTGGTGTTATACGAGCCATGGGTCTGGCCAGAACAATGAGGAAAACTATGGGAGGTGGGTTGAATTAAAATATAAACCAAATCATTGACAAGGTGGGCAACCCCCACAAAATATATTTTGCACCCCCTCAGAAAGTTTTCCCGCCCACCTAGAGAAATTTGCATACCCCCCCTGAAATTGGATTACACCACAAATCTTACAATTTTTCTTTGGAGATTTGTTCCCCGAGCCATTGTCAGTAAAGATATTGTGCTGTTCTAGCAGTTCTATATGAAATAAAGGGTCTCCAATCCATCACTAAACATTCCATTTTTTCCAGCACCATTTCTAATAATTGAACTAAGAAATCAAGATGAAATTGTGTTTGTAAAAAACACCAAACAGAAGAGCAACAAGATAAATCCGTTATTCGAAGAGACTTTCGACATCCCAGTTTCAACAGATTCAAGAATTCCATTGGATGAATTTCATCTTCAAATCACGGTGTTTCGTTACACCTTCTCAGGCAGCAATGATGTGGTCGGCTTGATTTGTCTGGAGACTGGATCTAGCTACCAAAACGAGGCTGATCACTGGAAAGAGGTCACACTCAACCCTCACACAACTGTGATGAAATGGCACAAACTCAGAATCGCATGAACCGATGAACGACGACAATTGGCCTTTCTCACGGTCGATTTTTCCGCCATATTTGGGGTACTGCCTATCCCACATTTGAGAGTCTCTGCACCACGAAATACAACTTTTTAGTATTGTAGTTGTTTGTATAATGGTAAATTTACAGTTACACATTTTGAAAGTCGCTTTTCATGGTGTTTGAATTGTCTAGAATCTTTCACGAGGGCAGACGACCAGTACCCGAAAAATGGCGGATTTTGGCCTTCGTGAAAAAGGCTAATTGTTGACGATAACATACTCGTAGTTTTTCAGCAAACATCACTTTGAAATGTGAATGAGGCAGCAAAAATAATAGCATGGCATGCAATGGCTGCCAAATGATGAAAGAATTTCAGATATATATACTTGATGAAACACCACATAATAGTAAACAATCAAATGCATTTGAAATAAATAATTTAAATAGCAAATTTCAATATATTATATATGGACTATATACTCATGGGAACCCAAATAAGATGGGCCACACTATAATTACACTCCTTGAGTTGCATGTGTTTAATTTATTGTGTGGATTTTTATATAGTCAATAGGAGTTTACTTTTCTGGAGTTTTGTAATAAACGTGCAAAGATATACAAACTAATTAATGCTATTCTCACCCAGCTTTGAACAACCTGCTGCTGAGTATATGCTGAGCTATGCTTAAACCTAGGAAGCACATGCACAGGTTTTCTCGGAGCATTTCATTTCCACATTGTACTAATAATATATACCTGGCAAATAAACACGACCCTTGCTGTTCCTCTAGGGAAAACGTTTACAACAGATAGAGCTAGCCAGCATAATAAAGTTAGTCTAGTTTTTAATGAATATAGTACAAAGGTATGTTTATATAGGGCATGCGTTCTCTCACATACAAAACACAACCTTATACATAAATATGGCGCCGAGAAATTTGTCTGCCTTTCAAGTTCGCCAGACAAATTAATTTAACTACATGTGAACCCAATATCGCATAATTTTGATGCCTATATTGTATTAACACAGTCAGATTGAACACTTATAAACAAACTTTAGTGCAATTTGTTTAAAGTACAAGGGATTTAAATCGGTGATTTAAATTCCACGAGGCAGTTGTCAAATATTAAATTCCACGAGGCAGTTGTCAAATATAATTTTGTACTTTTAACTACATTACTTACCAAAATATGAACATTTTTCGATGGTTAAGCATCCTTCTGATAGTTCTTGATGATATTTCGTTGCCTTAGACGAAGAAACGTTTATCTTATGGCAAAAATATTTAAAATGTTCGACCAAAATTTGCGACTTCGCTGTGTTGCAAATAATTTTTAAATTTTCCCGCACTCTACCGCGCCTGCGCGAACTGCGAGCAATTCGGGGAGGGAGAGAAAAATACGCAAAATATCACAGGGGGTCCAACTAAGAGCTGTGTTATGAAATATGAATAAAACATTAATTAAACGTAATATGAATAAAACATCATAACGTAATATATTTAAATTATTGCACTTACTTGTATAAATCATAAGAGCTTGTATTTGCAGTGAATAGCTTTTAACAGGGCGCTTATACACGCTCACAAAATCGCTCAGAAACACTTGATTCGAACGATTGTTCAAATCATAGTTAATATAGAAGACCTAATATAGAGGTCTTCTATATTAACTATGTTCAAATATGGCGAATAAATTGACAAAACGAAAATATTACATGACGTTCCAACGAAAATAACAGCAAGGATTGCGGGCGCGAGCGGAAGGCGAGGGTAATAGATATTAATAGAAGGGATAAAACACCGGTAATGCGATCGTGTGATGTGTTCCATAAGTAGCCTGTTCTCTCGGAAAATTCCAAAATGCCTCCTGCCAACTCCAACAACGCCTAAGCGCTTAATTAATGAAAATAAACAATGTTTAGCTATACCGGCTAATATGAAATGTTTAAATGTAGCGACCAACGTTTTTTTTTACATTATTTAGTTGTATTATTATTTCGTCATACGTCACGAGAACAGGCTACTTATGGAACACATCTCGCGATAATGGCCAAGAATGCTCGCTGTTATAAATCACATAAATTAGATTGATCAGTGCTTTTTTGGTAATGACTAGGCTTGTTCATGTAAGAGAACATCGACTGAGCCTTAAAAACCCCACAAACAGCTTAAACGGGTAGTCTAGAAGCATTTTAAAAAGTCACGTGATATTTGTTTCATCCCTTCTATTTATTTCTTCCCTCGCCTTTTCGCTTGCTCGCGCGCCCGCAATCCTTGCTGTTACTTTCGTTGGAACGTCATGTAATATTTTCGTTTTGTCAATTTATTCGCCATATTTGAACAATCGTTCGAATCAAATGTTTCTGAGCGATTTTCTGAGCGTGTATAAGCGCCCTGTTAAAAGCTATTCACTGCAAATACAAGCTCTTATGATTTAATATACAAGTAAGTGCAATAATTTAAATATATTACGTTATGATGTTTTATTCATATTACGTTTAATTAATGTTTTATTCATATTCATAACACAGCTCTTAGTTGGACCCCCTGTGAAAATATCCGACGTGACGCAAAATATTCTTATTTTTCACCCTGCTCGGTTTCCTTTGTTCTTGTCGGGGAATATATTCAATATTGCCCTCTAATCAATTTCCGTTTAATAATCCCCTCTAATATTCACCTGCAATTAATAATCCCCTCTAATATTCACCTGCAATGTCTTTGCAGCACAAAAAATGAGAAAAAATAACATCGCGAAGGCAATATGGCATTAAGAATTATTTCTATTCTGACTCTTTAACGCGACCTCGCAGTGTGAAAAATAAGTACGTTATTTTGAGGCACCTCGGGGATATGTGTTTATTCACCTCGGCGCTGCGCGCCTCGGTGAATAAATCACATATCCCCTCGTTGCCTCAAAATAACCTATACATAATCAAATATAATAAAAGTAATAATAATAATTGTACTGTTTTTTGTTGGAAGGAACACGTTTCCCCCCCTCCAAATTCAGTTTAAAGTTTAGTTTATAACACGAGCACAAAACAAAACAAAACAAAAAGGCACAAAATGGCATCTAGACATATTGTTTTATTTTAGGATTAAATTAAGTTAATCCTTACTTTAAATAAGTTGAATTACACACGAAATATGTAAGCGAATTGGAGGTTACTTGGAATTACGGAATATAGACTAGTCTTGCTAAACTTTTAGTATTCTAAATTCACAGTTATGATCTTAAAAAATAAAAAAATAAAATTGTCATGGCTACGATATTGTATCTTTCTATGATGTTTGTGTTTTCACTCGATCCCTGAGTTGAGGCCTGATCAACTCATATGATGGGTTGTTTAACACAGAACCATGTTAAAATAAAAGCTTACAATAAATTATTAAGAGGTTCTATTTAGCTATTTACCTTATTTTTTTATCTAATTGCCCCGTAAGTAAAACTACAGTGTGTTTGGTCTAAAGCTACATAAGCAGGCTCTAGGCTACATCAGCGGGGCCTATGGCCTTTATGAATTGTGGCCTTTATCAGATATTGACATATTTTCATTATCTTATACTATATACAGAAGAAAACCACGGCGCCGAGTGAACGCAGAGTAATCCGGCAAAGCTGTCGAGAATTTCATCCATAAGCGGGCACCTCATGAACTTCACTCATAGCGTTGATTTTCTTGATACAAACTGCAAAGAACATCACAATCAACTCCAGAAATTCACAAACTGTTATCACAGAAATTCCAATCCATAAACCCAATTGTCCTCCGATATCAGCCAGTAAGTTGATGGTCTAGAAGGAATACAACGGGTTTTTAATCTTCTTAACTCTTTTCAGGTAGTTTGGACACAAAGACGACAGCATATTATAGACTGCTACCTACACTGGACCATCACGTTTGATATATCTTTTTCAGGGAGTTCACTAGACACAAACCACGACAGCTTATTGTAGATCGAATACTACCTACACTGGACCACTACGTTTGAATATCGTTGAAACGCAGTATAGTAGAGTATACTGGATTTTCAGACTTAAGAATGGAAAGAAGCAGGGGCGTTGGAGCGGCTCTAAAAGTAGGGGGGCACACTTAGCGCCAGCCAAAGGCGGCTTAAATTCTAGCGGGGTCCAGGGGCATGCCCCTCGTCCATTTCCTGCGCTTTAGAAGGAGATTTACAGGGTTCTAAAGGTAACAAAATGTCATAAAATATCTCAAATTGTTTTGTCTACACGCGTAATTCAAATAATATCAATTGACTTTGTGGTTTATTATTTACCATTGTTAAAAAGTGAGGGGCCCAAAGACATTTAGGCCCCCCCCCTAACTAAAAAGTGCTCCCTCTCCGCTTCCGACGCCCCTGGAAGGAAGAATCGAATCCTTCTAATCACTGTATTCCTGCAATAATAAAACTAGTAAACTCACCCCATAAGAAAACTGTTCTTCAATTTTTTCAAAATTCAGTTCGTTGAAAAACACATTCAGTTGCAACATGTTGTCACTGGGAACAACAAAATGAACCAACTATTAAAACACTCACGTTGCACATTTGACAATTGTGTTGTTGGTTGAATAACATGTAGAAAATCACATGACAATCATGTTCAACTACCTTTCATTGTGATACTTGTTTTGTGAGATGAGATAATCCTATAAAAGAAATACGATGCGCGTCAGACCACACACACAAATAACCACAGGTAATTTACAGTACGATTATTTAAATTAACATACCTTATAAGCCTTGGAGGGCCATTGTGATGAACTGATCGTCTTCAGAAATGCTTCTTCCCTGGAATGCCAATTGATTTCAACTAAATTAAGCTCCAAGACACTAGGTAGATAGGTGTACATACTATATTGATTTAATTGACTGGGGGACTGACATTGTACTTACGTGCAAGGCTGTCTACAATCAGCAAGACATGACAACCTATCGTTATTAAAAAGATATTTCACAGTCCTTAGGCATCTACCTAAAACAGACCAAATATGACGATTCTTTCAAGCTAATTCATCTATACCATACTGCATGTGCTGCACCATATGCCATAGATACCACAGTACATGTATACCATTCAATACCATACAGTTCTAAACTGTTCTCCCTATAGAGTAAGGGTTATCCCTCTATTCTATTTGATCATGGTTAACATTAAGCGACTTACTTGTTTTCGAATCAAAAACGTCACAAGGGTCTCTATCAGATGGATACGAGTATTCCGAACATCCACATCTGAATATTTGACTCAGACCAAGGCATGAGTTGAGGCAAGCCTAGTGGAAGATAAAAAATCGCATGAAACGATACACGAAAAGTAAGACCAGCTCGATCAATTCTAACCTGTTCTCACTAGACATCCAGCAAGGGACAATCGTTTATTCATATTAGATAGCTCTATCGGTTATAAGCTGTTCTCCCTAGAGGTCCAATAAGTGTCATACCTTACTGTTTCAAAAAACAGAAGTACACCGACAAAACTTGCGGCGTTTGAGAGACTTAAATTGGAAGTATTTCTCTCACATACAACCGAGGTGAATTACAACATCACAGGAATCAAAGACTAGATGAAATACGCATGCTGTATTAATCGCTGTTCCACTAACACCAACCAACAAATTTTGTTACGATTCTCTTATATATTTACCTGTTGTGAATAAGTTGTGATATTTTTATAACGTCGATAAATGTTGGTCATTGGTAATTCATCTTGAGGAAGACAACTTTTGTTGTTGAATCTATCCAGTCTGATAATCTGTGTCTGCAAGGAACATACATGCACATGCTAGCGTGTGTTTATACCTAATTCAAAACTTCACATAACTCACAAGACTAATTATCATTGTTCTAGTATACAGACGCATAGAATAGCATAACTCTAATGCTTAGTCACTTTTGTCCTATTGGCTATGCTTCTCAGGTAAACTACAACAATGATATCGGGTAGCAACGATGTGAACATTGCAACGTTAGAAAAATTTGTCTATGCATTTGTTACCGGCGTTGATCTCACCTTCTTAATCCCAACTGATGTTGCCATCCCTGGTGATACACTGAAACCCTCTTCATAAGGGAAGGTCATGTGACCCTGATCATGTAACAATACTCGAATACCAGCCTCGACTGTAAGTGCTCCTATATACTGCTCTTGTTGCACATCAATTTCCAGTAAGAGACCTTTAAAATAAGCAGTTCTATCAGTTATAAACTATTCTCCCTATAGAGGTCTGTTAAGAGTCACCATTTATGTATTATCTAGTGTTACTAGAGGAGGAAACTTAAACTAAACTAACTTATTTATACATCATCTCTTATTGGTTCTATTGGTCTAGTGTTACTACAAGAGGAAACCTAAACTAAACTAACTTTATTTATACTGGATAACTCTATCAGTTCTAAACTGTTCTCCCAAAAAGCCATACTGCGGGATCAATAAGGAAATTAGTTAGGAAACCGGACTATCAAGAGAAAACCAGCAGTATTTAGTAAAGGCCAACTCGGGCAACACACCAATCTTCTCCTGTGTGACTGACGTGAAATTATAATCAGACAACTGTATAGTCCAGGGAACAAGCTGCAGTCATAGAACACATACAGTATTGGCGAATTTAGAAACTATTTAGTTATTTTACCTTGCGAAGGACCAGGTTTTGTTGCTCTGAAAACACGCTGCGGTTTTCCTTCATCGTCCATCCCGCGGTTAAACGTAAAACAATTTCCATATTTGTAGTTCCACTCATGCGACCAATACTTGCTTATATTTCTGCGAAATAAATTTCAACATTTTATTTAATAAGGTAAATGGAAATAGTATAGGGTGTACAAAAATCTGAATCCTTTCTTGCAAATGAGAGTTGGATTGGAAGGAATACAGCTTAAACGTGGGCGATATCACGCAGCCACAAGGTAGAAGGGTTAGTTTTTCAGGTGAGAAGAAGAGAAGAGAACCAACCACAACTCGATTTAAATGATTTACACCAAGACCTTAAGGTTACAGGACACCCTTTCTGGCGTTTTGCGGAAAATCGCTACTGCGCGCTCAAAATCAGTCCAATTTTCATAAAATTTTCACCAAATGTTCGCCAGTGCATGCAAAATATGGTAAAGTTATAAAATTAACAAACAATAAAATAATGTAAGAATTATTCAGTAAAATCTTAAATCGCGGTATCGTTACGCTTTTGAGTTGTGCTCCTGCTGGTTTAAAGGTATATTAGTGAAAATATCATTTTTAAATAGTAAAATAGTTGTTCTAAAAAATCGTGTTCGGAAATTTTTGTTTATTTCGTCATTCCGCTGATATGGCGATTTCTTTGACGACTGCAATATATTTCTGAATTGTTTGAGTGAATTGCTCTTTATTATTAAAATATCCAAAATGAGAACAAAGCCGAACACGATTTTGAAACTGACGTCTTTAGCTATATCCTGTGAAAATTTGAGAAAAATTGGATGAAACCCGCAGGAGAACAACTCGTTTGAAAATCAGTAATTACCGTAAAATTCTTCGGGAGAAAATTGAATTTGAACATTACATTTTCAATGTTTTTCTTATTGCAGCGAAATGTATTATATGAAATAACTCAGCGAGTTTTCAACATTTTTCGTTCAAACTTGGTCAGGTAGTAGAACTAGTCTAATGCTTTCATGGAAACCAATAAAAAAAGTTTAGGCAAAATTAACACTCAAAGGTGTCCTGTAACCTTAAAGGGTAGTCAGTATCAGCAGTGTGCTAGCCACGTGTAAATATCTCACAGCTTGTCAGGAAGATGTGTTCGCACTGGCAAGATTGATAAGGCAAACAGACTCGCAACGAACAAGTTGTTAACAGGTTGATGACAATAAGCTCGTAACAACTTGTTACGAACAGCCTGTAAACGTTATCAACCTTGTAACAAGGTGATAACAACTTGTTCCAGACTTTGCGCAACAACTGGGAACAAGCAGTGCGAACACATCCTGATATCGGCTTGACAACAACCTTGTTACAATTTGTTTGCAGAACTGTAACAATTTTCGCGTTTTTACGTGCGTACATATCAATCCCTACATCAGTACATGTCTACAGTCATGGAAATTAATTCGTAGAACCAGATTGAAAAATCTCTCAACTTTCGCCCCTTCCCCTTTACAATATAGAGGTTCAGACCCACTACCGCTATCACTACTTCTAACTGGCTTAGTATAGTACGCATCTGATTGGTTAATCGAATATATCAAATGCATCTGATTGGTTAATTGAATATATCAAATGCATCTAATTGGTTAATCGAATATATCAAATGCATCTGATTGGTCAATCGAATATATCAAACGCATCTGATTGGTTAATCGAATATATCAAATGCATCTGATTGGTTAATGTTTCCTTAATGGATAATGTTGACTGTCATCCAACGATCATGATTTGAAACGAGATTGCGCATGCTGTAGTAGTATGTCTGGTTTCTTAGTGCGACGTACACACGCAAAAATCTCGCATCTTGCAGCAAATCTAGCAACAAGCCGTCACCAACTTGTGTTCGCACTGTTGTCCCAAGTTGTCAACAAAGTTTGGAACAAGCTGTTAACAACTTGTAACAAGCTTGTTGATATTATCAGACTTATTGCAAGGTTGTTCCAACAAGTCCCTTACAGTCATGATATAACAATATTGTTACAACCTTGTGTCGTCAACCTTGTAACATTCTTGTTATATCATGACTGTATCAGACTTGTTAGAACAACCTTGTAACAAGTCTGATAATGCGATCAAGATTATTACAAGTTGTTAACAGCTTGTTCTAAACTTGTTACAACAAAGGGGGAAAAGCAATGTGAACACAACTCCTTGACAGCTTGTAAACAGATTTGTAGCGACTTGCAAGTTTGTTTGCAGACCTGTAACAACTTGTGCGTTTTTGGGTGTGTAACCTTTCCCGTGTGACTGTCAGACTGTATGAGCTGAATACATACCCCGTTTTACAGTCAATTCCTTTCCAAGTACAATTTCGGACTAAAACATCAAACAAATGTCCTCTATCGCGAAGGTCCGCCTCATCCAACGATCCGATCACAAGATCAACTTCGTATCGTAGCCTCGCTTCCGCGCTGATCGTACCTGGATCCGGAAACTCTTCTTCTTCGTCCTCGTCATAGTTTTCGTAACCCGACCCATACTCCTCGGCGTCATCACGGTACTCAGAGTAATCGTCATCGTTATAATAAAAATCGCCGGAGTAGTCCTGGTAAGAATAGTCTGTCGTAGGCGCATCTGTGTTGGGGGTGTCAGTATTGTAATCTCCAGAACCCGGAGTGTTGCGACGCCGTCTTTTTGTTCCCGAGCCTGGGCGAGAGTAAAAAAGAAAGTACCAAGGCCGATTAACACTACACAATTTTGGGCTAAAACTGTGCTTACAACTTGAGTTTGTAGTTCGCTATAACTACAGCTACTTCAAAAATATGTAGTCAGCTACAACTACTGCTACTTTTGAACAAAGGTAGTTCGCTACTGACTACAGCTTTTCGCTACATTTCGCTATTTCGCTACGCTATATTTTTTAGTTTTACTGTATTTGGAGCATCTATACTAACTCAGACTGTAATGTAACCTATAACAAATCGACTTACGAGTAGCAACAGTAAACACAAAGCAACATTTTTGTAATTACTACAGTGTTCAGGAGTGCAAATTGACTATTGAGTATCGATTTTAAGCAAACCGTGTCTCAATATCATGCTATTCTGTCAAGTTGTTAACAATTTTTAAAAGTAGCGAATAGCGATTTGCTGTTTGAAAAGTATAGTCAACTACTTGGCTACTTTTAGGCAAAATGAAGTTCGCTATAACTACAGCTACTGTTTTAAAAATGTAGTAAAAAACTACTGGCTACTTAAAAATTGTAGTTCGCTACAGTAGCGAACTACAACTACTTCGCTACTACCCACCCTTGTGAGTAGACGAGTTATGTGCTTGATTTACACAAGTTGTAAGCAGGTTGCATGCGACAGTTTTAAGCAAAGGTTGTGTAGTTAACTGACTACAGAAAGTTGCCTGTATTTTTTTGACAGACCACAGGTGACTTACATATCTTAACTAGTTTTATTTATATTGGTTTAGCTGATGTAACAATTGAACTCACCATCAGTTGAACTCGAAGAATAGTCATATTTTTTCTTGAGTGCATCTTTCACAGTCTGTGGTATAGCGTCTTTACGTAGAATGTTTAAATTGCAGATGGTGACGGCAGGGAAAGGGAGTCGCTAGATAAAGATTAAGACGAATGTCAGTCTGCTGCAGGACTTAACAACTTGTCAATAAGCTGGAAATTAACAACCAGCCTAATATCAGCAGTTTGTTACATTGACAATTACGATATTTATCATCAAAATAACCTACGATGGTCTAATCTGTAATTTTTTACAATATTATTAATTGTGATTGAAGCACCGCCACTCGTCTTACTTAGACGTACCTTTTCAAAAGTGACTGACACAGAAGTCGAGACTGGTTTGGACGAATATTGTTGAAGCAATTCAATAAATTGATAAATAAACATCGAAAAAGCACCCATGCACACCAACGACCAAAATATTTTCCAGAATATCGTCTTAGACTCTGCCAAACGTCCAATACCATTGGTCGAAGTGTAACCCATGAAACTGTGTACAAGCTTTTTGAAAGATTTGCTTTCCCTTTTCTCTTGTGGAGACGAAGCGCCGTTCTTGCGCTGAGCTTGAGGGTCAATTCTGGAGTTCATTCCGGGGTCCATTCTGTTTATTGAATGGAATGAAGGTGTATTTCCTGGTTTAGGTAGAAATAAGTCTCTTCCGTACAGAGTGTACCTGTCAGAAAATATTAGTTCAGAGTGGAATTTTTTATACATTTATTCGAGACCTATATGTTCCAACAAGTCTGATATTGTCTGCGCGTACAGCGAGAATGAGATATACAATACGTGACATAGTGTTGGAAAAGCATTAAGAACAGCTAAACAAGGTTGTGTCACTGCTAACTCTCGTGCACTATCAGCCTCGTTTCATCCGGGTTTTACTGAAACTGAGCAGCGAGCTAAATGACATAAACTTACGGTTGAGATCTTCCATCATATGCCGGCGGTCTTGGTCCCTGTACACCGCTTTGACTTCGCTGCATATTTCCTTCCCAAAAAACTCAGTCCACTTTAAATAACAACAGTTTTAATATTAAAAAACTATTTTATTATTAGTTTTAATATTACTCGCACAATACTCTATCTATATCAGATAAATAAAACCAACCGTCATCAATTTAAAATAAATAAAATTAACATTGGTTACGTTTTATTAAGGCTACATTTATACACTATAGTCTATACCGAATAGCTTTCGATCCGTAGCGGCGCATATAGCTTTCCGCATCCGATACGGAATGTACAACTTTCACAAGTTTCACGTCGAAATTCTCCTTATATTTTTCAGGTAGTTGCATCGCTACCAACGAAAGCTTGTTATTATTGGCCGCTACCTACATTGGCTCAGACACTTCAAGATCTGACTTAAAAAAATCATTAATAATTCATGAAAAGACAAAGGAAATCACTGCCATGTCGGTGGTTTCATATGTGATAAAAAATCATGTTCATTTACAGAAACTTTAACTTTGATTTCCTCGACTTAGACACGTTTATTTTTAAAATTACTTCGCCAATGACCTCATAAGATGGGTCGTTTTTTGAGCCATTTAAAACACTCGCAGTGGCCGTGCTTTATCAGATATAGAACACTCGAGCTGCGCTCTCGTCATTTTATATCTGATAAAGCACTCCTGCCGTGTTTTAAATAGTATATATTAAACACCACATTAAAATGTGTTCCTTCAATGTGTTCTGGCGTTGCGCGGTCTTGTATTTCATATCAATATAGAGAGTTTGGCAGCAAAGCCAACAGCATGCAGTTATATTTAAATTACATATATTTTTGTATCGTGCCAGAGCATCATGTACATTACAAAACTTTATTTTCCTTTATTTAAATACTTACCTTTCTTTCTTTACAAAAACCCTAATTAAATTAAGTATAGTCAGTGAATTCACCATAAAACACTCCACACGATTTCGAACGTTTGGCGTGGTTATATGAGCCGTGAAAATTCTGTGAATAACGTAGCAGCTCCTAGCAGTGTGAAAAGCTACAGCGTATACTAGAATGTTGATGGGAATACAATTTAATCATTTATAGTCGGCTTTGTCTTAGAGTAAGAATATTCTATTGTCTATGCTCACGCCAGAGGGCAAAATGGCGTTGATCCAACGTTAATTCAACGTTGAATGAGCATTAAAACGTTGAGATTATTTGAAACGTTGACATCGGTAAGGCGAGTGGGTCACTTTCTTGTTCTGCCTACATTATGATGTCATACGGTGTATCTATAACTGAACAGACAGCGGCAAAATCTTATCTATATTTGTTTTATATCAGTATAATAAATATAAAACACCCGAATTAAACACAGTAAATCCACCCAAACATTTGGAGATTTGAAAAAGTCGAAATTTTACAAATATCATGCGTATACATGATCTATACAAATGGGTGAGGCCGGGAATGCTGTATTGGCTACCTTCATTGTGACGTATATATATATATATATACATATATATATATATATATATATATATATATATATATATATATATATATATATATATATATATATATATATATATATATATATATATATATATATATATATAGTTTATTTTAAAAATTACTTCGCCAATGAACTCGTATAAGATGAGTCGTTTTTTAAGCCATTTAAAGCACTTGTAGTCGTGTTTTATCACATATAAAACACTCCGCTACGCGTCGTGTTTTATATGTGATAAAACACTCCTACGCGTGCTTTAAATAGTACATTTATACATATATATAATATATATATATATATATATACACACATGTTTTGTGGGCTTGTTTTCAATAATTAATGTATGTTGTTTTATAAAGATATTTCGTTATCTTGATTACGATTGTTATAAAACACAATAAGATCCTTGACTTTGTGGGTTTCCATGGTAGAAATAGACATAATATCTTTGTCTCGGTAGTCCGGTCTTCACATTGGTGCTATAATAATTTCAAACACTCATTAATAATTCATAAGCTTATTGGCAAATCATGTCACGGACCTCAAGATGTCATGTGAAGAGACTTTAAAGTTTATACCTGATAAAAGTCATCTCATTAGTATTCTTTCAATCCTAATTAGTATTCTTTATTTAAAGAATACCGATAAGACGGCATCTATTGTAGCCGTGTTTGAAGTACTATTTAAAATGCGCGTAGGAGTGTTTTATCATATCCAAAATGCTCGTGCTGCGCACTCGCATTTTAAAAATGATAAAACACTCCTACGCGTATTTTAAATAGTATACTTCATGCACAAGTGTGGATCCAAGCAGGATTACGGATTGGAAACATTTTGTACGACGAAACTACTAAAATCACTGGAAATCCTCCTCCGAGTCCAAAAACAGTCAAACCTCTGCCCTTTCAAGTTTGCCAGACAAATTAACATATGAACATTTATCGAATATGAACATTTTTCGATGGTTAAGCATCCTTCTGCATGATAGTTTTTGATGATATTTCGTTGCCTTAGACGAAGAAACGTTCATTTTATGGCAAAAATATTTAAAATATTCGACCAAAATTTGCGACTTCGCTGTGTTGCAAATAATTTTTAAATTTTCCCGCATTTTACCGCGCCTGTGCATGCGGACTGCGAGCAATTCGGGGGGGGGGGGGGGGGAGAGAAAATACGCAAAAATCCGACGTGAAGCAAAATATTCATAATCAAATATAATAAAAGTAATAATAATAATTGTACTGTTTTTTGTTGGAAGGAACACGTTTTTCCCCGCCATATTCAGTTTAAAGTTTCAGTTTAGTTTAGTTTATAACAAGAGCACAAAACAAAACAAAACAAAACAAAACAAAACAAAACAAAACAAAACAAAACAAAACAAAACAAAACAAAACAAAACAAAACAAAACAAAACAAAACAAAACAAAACAAAACAAAACAAAACAAAACAAAATAAAACAAAACGGCACAAAATGGCATCTAGAAATATTGATTTTATTTTAGGATTAAAGTAAGTTACTTTAATCCTTACTTTATATAAGTTGAATTACACACGAAATATATAAGTGAATTGGAGCCGTTACTTGGAATTACGAACTATAGACTAGTCTTGCTAAACTTTTAGTATTCTAAATTTACAGTTATGATCTTAAAAAAATTAAAAAATTAAATTGTGATGACTACGATATTGTATCTTTCTACGATCTTTGTGTTTTCAACTCGAAGCCTGATCAACTCATATGATGGGTTGTTTTCAGTCACAGCATCGTGTTAAAATAAAAGCTTAAATTAAATCATTAAATGATTAAAAGGTTCTATTTAGTAAGTATTTACAATGCCAAAAATGTTAGCAATTTACCATATTTTTATCTACGTTGATTTCCCCCACGTAACTAAAACTACATTAATTGTGTTTGGTCTAGAGCTAAGGGGCTCAGGCTCTAGGCCACAGCAGTAGGCTCTAGGCTACATCAGTAGGCTCTAGGCTACATCAACACGCTCTAGGCTACATTAACAGGATCTAGGCTACATCAACAGGGTCTATGGCCTTCATCAGATATGGACATATTTTCATTATCTTATACTATATACAGAAGCAAACCATGGCGCCAAGTGAACGCAGAGTAATCCGGCAAAGCTGTCGAGAATTTCATCCATAAGCGGGCACCTCATGAACTTCACTTACAGCGTTGATTTTCTTGATACAAACTGCGAAGAACATCACGATCAGCTCCAGAAGTTCACAAACTGTTATCACAGAAATTCCGATCCATAAACCCAATTGTCCTCCGACATCAGCCAGTAAGTTGATGGTCTATGGAAGAAATACAACGAATACTTTGGAAAGGGACAAAGACAACCAAGCATTTGAAACAAGGGAAGGAGGATGGTTATGGGGAAGAAAAAAGGAAACAAGAGAAGGAAGGAAGGACGGATGAACGAAATATAAAAAGGAATGAAAAAGGAAGAATGGAAGGAAACATCCGATGTGTCTGCAATAATATTTCCCGGTTAACACCAGTAAACTCACCCCATAAGAAAACTGTTCTTCAATTTTTTCATAATTCAGTTCGTTGAAAAACACATTCAGCTGCAACATGTTGTCACTGGAAACAAAAAAATGAACCAACTATTAAAACACTCACGTTGCACACTTGACAATTGCATGTATTAAATAACACGTAGAAAATCAGATGACAATCATGTTCAACTACCTTTCATTGTGATACTTTTTCTGTGAGATGAGATAATCCTACAAAAGAAATACGATGCGCGTCAGCCCACACACACACAAATAACCAAAGGGTATAAGTTACAGCACGATTAATTTAACATACCTTATAAGCCTTGGAGGGCCATTGTGATGAACTGATCGTCTTCTGAATGACTTCTTCCCTGGAATGACAATTGATTTTAAGGGTATGTGCTGTTAATTTCATTAATAGTGGGACTGACATTGTACTTACTTGCAAGGCTGTCTACAATCAGCAAGACATGACAACCTGTCGTTATTAAAAAGATATTTCACAGTCTTTAGACATGTACCTAAAACAGATCAAATATAACGATCTCTTAGTGGCTCATCAACCACATGCTACCATATACTGTATATATGTCATATGCCATACCTTATCACAAACATGTTTGTGATGTTACTCTGAGCGTGCATCCACACCGAGCAAGCTGAAAAGTTTGCTTGGCCACGGCGGGAAGCAAAACTTTTCAGTTTGCCCGGTGTGGATGCACACTCAGAGTAACATCACAAACATCATATTCACCTGAGTACACATAACACCAACAACACAAAAAAAGTTTCATACAATATCATATAGTTCTAAACTTTTCTCCTTTGAGGAAGGGCTATCCCTCCTTGGAGAAAACATCTTGGTGAAAAGATCTTGGAGAAAAAATCTATTGGAAAAAAGATCTTGACAACCAACTACCGTTAACTGTAGTCTGTAGTCTGTACTGGCGTTGTTCGTTTGTCGGCATCTTAAACTCCCAAATGCTAATCAGAGAACGACATATATCGCAGAAATCGAGGCGAAAGGCGCATATGCATGCATGTACTAACCAATGTGCCATCGACTCTATTCCAGTCCTTTCGATTTATTTAATTATGTTT